GGGACACGTTCCCCATCGTTGTCGGTCCTAGCAGAGCAAATTCTCCTTTGGTGCCTGGAATACAATGTGGAGCTAACCGCACGCCACCTTCCAGGGGTGAGAAACGATCTGGCAGATGCCCTTTCGAGGCGCCGCCGGAGTGGCTGATCCCCCAGTGGGTAGCCTCCAGGCTGTTTCGACTGTGGGACGGTCCAAAGATAGACCTGTTCGCCGCACCCCGGAACGCCAAGCTCCCGACGTACGTAACACTCCTGCCGACACCAGGAGCATGGCCGTGGACGCCTTATCGATCCCCTGGTCCCACATGGATGCGTACGCCTTTCCTCCCTTCCCGCTAATCCACCGGGTACTGGAGAAACTTCGACAAGAGCCCACCTGCATATTAACTCTGGTGGCGCCCAATTGGCCGACCAAGGCCTGGTTTCCGCTACTGCTGGAAATGATAGTAGAAACACCGGTAGTACTGCCGGACATACCGGACTTGCTGTCCCAGCCGGATGGCACACTACCAACAAGCCCAGCAGTGTACCACTTACACGCATGGAGACTCTCAGTAGACTCGCGCAGACGAAAGGTCTATCTAAGCGGGCTGCCAACGTCCTGGCCAGCACGAACAGGGATTCCACCAACGCTGCCTACGACTCGAAGTGGCAAGCATACACCGGTTGGTGTAGTGGAAGGGAGATTGATCCATGCCATCCAGCAGACTTCTTTGTGCACTTGTTTGACGAAGTGGGTCTGTCCTACGCAGCAATCGTTGGCTACAGGTCAGCCTTGTCCCCTGCCATAGAAAACTCTTTGGGGTCAAGTTTAGCCGATTGTCCCATTATTAGGAGACTGTTTACTGCTTTCTATAATCAGAGGCCCAGAGCCCGTTCAAGGGAACCGCCTGATTGGGACCTGTCGGTTGTTTTATCAGCCCTAAGCAGACCTCCCTTTGAGCCCCTCATTTCAGCACCACTCAAGTTTTTGACGTGGAAAACAGTCTTCCTACTGGCCCTCGCCTCAGGTAGGCGCCGGTCAGAGGTAGGTGCACTGTCCTTTGCGGACGGTTGTGCCGCCTTTATGGACGATCAAGTTGTACTAAAGACACGTATCGGGTTTCTCGCCAAGAACCAAATCCCAGGACCCGATCCTCAACCGATCGTCATCCCCCGGCTGTCCAATATGGTTGGTCCGGAGGATCAGGAGGAATTGCTTCTCTGCCCGGTCCGAGTGCTGAGTTGCTACGAGAACCGTACCAGGTTTTCCAGACAGGGAACCAAACACATGATTTTGTGTTACGGCCCTGGCAAACAAGATAAGCCGGCTTCCCCGACTTCCATCTCCAGGTGGA